CTCTAAGGTAAGCATCAGAAGGCAACAGTGGAGCTTCATCCTTCCAAACTCATCAATGTATTGAACGGCAATGAGAGACTCAGAGACCGGTTTGCCATTGTGAATGAAAACCGGGATTTTCTTGTGAATCGGGTTCATCTGCAGCAAGTGGACTCGTGTTGCTCACGTAGTCCTCCTCTTTGCACTCATACTCGATGCCCTTCTCGGCCAGTGCAATTTTCACCCTCATCCCAAATGGGCTTGGCCAGAAGTCTAATAATACCACCTCATCCGCCATTGAAGATTGGACTATTTGAAATGATTAATAATTTGAAGTTTTACAAGTGAACAATTACAACAACAAGAATATTAATTTTCAATATGAAGCTGTGAGTGGTGATGGGTGTTTCAGGGAGACCAGTATTTATGGGCAGAAAGTCAAGCATTCAAAGTAAGGCGGAAGTCGGACATGGAGACCAGAGTGCTGATGGAGAGATTCTATTTTGCTTCATCTTTGTACGTATATATATTCTGGTCGAGGCCAGATAACAGTGTGTATTTTGATTAAAATATAATTAGATTGTTTTAAGTCTTAATCTTCGGTGGAAAGAATTTAGACCTGATCAAAGTTCATTATTTTTTTGGTAAAAAACCTGATCAATTGTACGTGGACCAACATGAACACGCAAAACAAAGGCCCGAGACTAGAAAAGTAAACCAACATCAATTGTACGTAGCTCTTATGGCATGTCTTCTGTCCATGTTATAGAATTGAAATTATTCAGAAATCTGAATTTCTCTGCATTTACTAATACATTAGTATTGAAATTATTCTAATTCAAAACTTCTCATGCGTTTAACAATACATAATGAAATCAAACGATTACATTACGATCTGCAATTGAAAAATTAGAAATTAATTAGTAAGGAGTAATTAATTGCATATCACAAAACTAACGTAATTGAAACGATATATGGACGTAGAATTTGAATCAAACTAAAGCACTAGAAATCTATTTTCGCACGTAATTCTTTTTTCATAAAATAAATTTAGCAGACAATCCAGTCAAATTAAAGAATAAAAAAAATCTATAGTGCAATATGAGGAAAGCTGATGCGAGATTTATACGCACACAAATTAAACCCTCTTTTTGTCAAATTGTAGTAAAGATGTAAGTAGAGATCGTTCTAGACTGGGGATTAGGAGGGATTGCTAAACACTTGGAAACTGACTTAAAAACTCAAAAACAAAGTTTAAAACACTAAACTCGACTCAAAGAATGCAAAACTAAAAGTTAAAACACTTAAACAAACCTAAAACTCAAAACAGCAACTAGAAGACTCAAAACTGCCTAAAAACCACTTTCTGGGCAGTTTTGAGCACCTACACTAATTTGGACGAAATTGGATGAAAACTTGAATCAAAATACTTAGAAACACAAATCAAAACACTTTCTAACTAATCTAAGACTTCAAATTAAAGGGGGATTTGTTTTGGACGAAAATTGAAATAACAAAACAAAGTAACAAACTAGGCAGATTGTAAAACGAATTCCTTGAAAACAAGATGATGGATGGATTAGCTAAGGGGTTCATCTCCACACATGTTACACTTGCATAATAAAAAGATTTCCAATTGCATTTCAATAAACCATGAATTCTCAACGCCCCGGGTTAATTAGGTCCGCTTAAATTAACCGTCAAGTTTTCCTTAAGTTAATGAATTGGATGATTGCATACGACAACCCAAAGCATTCCTCACAAGTTCCCTACATGAATTGCATAATAGAGATACAAGCAAGAATCATTAAGCATCATGAAAACTATAAGTGTTGACGAGGCATTCGTTACTATGATTGCATGAAACTTATGCCAAGAATTTGTTTAACGCGATTGTTTATAAGCAACCTCCACTACTTGTGAATATAAGTTCATAACTATTACGTGAAACTCACTTATATTCTAGCGTCATATTCATGCATGAAAATTAAGTGTGCACTCTCAATAAACATACATAAATAAGTTATCAATCAAATAGTTAAACAAATTGAATCCACAACTTATGAAACGCAATTAGAAGTAATCAAATCAAAATGCAAGCATAAACATATATTTCGAATCCCCCCCTAGCCAAGGGGGGGTTTAGTTCCTCATGATACAAAACAAAGAGAATCAAAGAAACACCTAAACATTCCAACAACTCAAACTTGAATTGTATGAACGTTTAGGCCCTCTTCTCTTCCATTCCTCATTCGTACAAAACAAAGAGTATTGAAATTAAACATTGAAATCAAAGAAACACCTAAACATTCCAACAACTCAAACTTGAATTGTATGAACGTTTAGGCCCTCTTATCTTCCTCTTCGTTGTAGCACAAGGTCTAAGGATAGTTTGATGGTGTGAATGGTTTGGGGAGTGGTGAAAATGGAAGGAGGATGCCACGGCACAAGGGAATGGTTGGTGTTTGTGACTGAAATGTGTATGGAAGAATGAGATCTTGTTGTGGCTGAAATGGATGCTTATTTATAGGTAAATAAGAGGGAACATGACAGCTAGGAAGTGGGTGGAAATGTGGCTGCAATGTTAGTGAATGATTATGAGTGAATGCATGTGGATGTGGCTAGGTTGGAAAGCTGGAATTGTGATGGGAGATGCATGTGCTTTGACAGAAATGAAAGGGATAATGCACGGCTTTTAGAGGAATTGTGCTGAAATTGAATGTGAAAGCATGTGCAATGAATATGTGGCTGCATGTGTGGTGCAATGATGAAGGAATAATCTGAAAATGCAAGGTGAAATGAAGTGGAATGACAATGGCATGTGGAATGGCTGGAAAGTGTATGAAACTCACAGCAATGATGGTGATTTTCTGGTGGTGAATGGTAATGCAATGTGTTTGCATGTGAATTAAAGCTATGTGAATGATTAGGGTGAACGTGCATGTGCTTTGACAGCTAGGATGAATTAATTAAAGGGAGTGCATGTGGAATGGCTGGAAAGTGTATGAAACTCACGGCAATGATGGTGATTTTCTGGTGGTGAATGGTAATGCAATGTGTTTGCATGTGAATTAAAGCTATGTGAATGATTAGGGTGAATGTGCATGTGCTTTGACAGCTAGGATGAATTAATTAAAGGGAGTGCATGTGGCTTGGCTGGAATGAATGGAATGCAATCTGAAATGGGAGATGGAATGGGATGCACGGCAATGATGGTGTTTGTGTGAATGATGGCAGATTGTGTGGGTGAGTGATTAGGTTGGAAATGCATGTGAATGCAAGGTGTGAATGATTATGAGTGCATGTGGGTGAATTAAAGGATGGAATGCATGTGAATTAGGTTGGAAATCTGATGGGAACTCACGGCATTAAGTGGAGTGAAATGATTGAATGTTTAATGGTTGCATGTGGCTGAAATGAAGTGTGTATGCATGTGCACGGCACAAAGGGAAATGGTTTTGGTGAATGGCTGATTAGAATCTAGGGTGAATGGTGTGTACGGTTTTTGGGAGAGAAAGTGTGTTGGATGATTTATGGAGATGCATGTGGATTAAAGGAATGCATGTGCAATGGATATAGGAAAGGTTTAAATGTCCTAAAACTAAAGGGAACAAGGTTCCAACACTTTGGTCTTCAATTAGGTCTTCAATTTCGTCCAACACTTTGGCTCCAAGCATAAGCTATCCATCCTTAGCCCAAAAGTACTCCAAAAGTCTCCAAAATGCATCTTTTTGCTCCTTTAGCCATTTGGACCTACAAACACACGAAAATAGCTTAAAGTACTAAAATAACTAAAGAAACATAACGTAAATGCACGAGAACAAGCCATTTAAGTCGCATGAATATGCTCCTATCAAAAGCAATGACAATTCCAAGCAGTAGAATTAGTAGAATATTACTGGCTAATTCCACGACTATTGGTTTAGGATTCTCTCCAGATTTTTTTGGTGAGGATTCTGAGGATTCGTAAATTATATCTGTTCATCGTACATTATGCGGTCAATTTTATCAGGTACTGTTTGTATTTAATTTTAAATAAAAATATTTAAAATAATTTATAACCGTACGATGTACGATGAACAAATATGATTCACGTATCCCTAGAATCCTTACAAAGATGATCCGTCGAGGATCCGGATTCTAAAAGAATAATGTATTACAACAGTAAATACATGATTAGTTGTTAAGTGACATCAACCACTGTATCCAATAATCTTTTTGTTCCTTTTACAGCACTCGCGAGTGTCTGCTAGCCTGTCAAACATCCCCCAGCACAAGAAGTTTGATTGTCAATAATGGCGGACGAGGTTGTAGTTGTGAGCTTCTGGACCAGCATGTATGGGTTTAGTACTGCTTTGGGATGCCACTCTTCATTTGTTATAAGAACACGTGGGTACTGGTTATAACATATGGTGGTATTCTCGTATTGCACAATAATATTTCGAGCTCATGGTGTTAAAAGGAAAAATTGGAGATTCAAATGTCTTCCCAAATCAAAGGAATGCTAGACTTAATGAAAACAAAATGATAATTTAAGTAACCCAATTTCTTTGCTATAATAAGTTGACAACAATGTGATAATTGAACAACAAAAGCAAACAACAAAGATGAGAACATATTAACAACAGAAGCCATCAAAGTGCCGCATACTGTTGGAATGACATTGATGATCACATGCCCATGCCCATGCATATGCTTCCTCAAAAAGATATTGTTACTGGCTGTGGCTAATTTCATATGGGTTATTTATTTAGAAGAATTATATGTTACAACATTAGTAAACATTATTAGTGTTAATTAACATAAACCAATGTATCATATAACTGGCCAAAATCCCAAAACGAAATTGTGAGCCTGAACTGAAAGTCCGAAACCAAGTGTCAAACATGCCACAGCACACACTGACACACCCATCACAATATAACGGCCTTAATAGTCAGTAGTGCTTCATGATATTCTAGCTCTAAGTCTTTGATTTTTGCAAGAAGAAAATTCAGCTGCAAGAAGCTTGTGCGTCGACAATGGCGGGCAAGGTTGTAGTTTTGGGATTCTGGACCAGCATGTTTGGGGAGAGGTCCAGAATAGCCCCGGAAGAGAATGTTGGAGCAATATTAGAAAATCCGAAAATAACATAAGAATTCCAATAATAATAATCCTAAAGAAATTCACAACATCAATTATGTATGAAACTAATATAAACAACCAGGGAGAAAGTTAGAAAAACTAACAAACTTGGAGATTGAGGCTTGCATAAATGCAATGCCTAAAAATAGAATTTCGTCCATACTCTTGTGCTTGTAGTTCGGTAGGTGTCTGTCTCTCAAAATTCAACAATCTATAAGCCGACGTCGAAACACTTCAATCTTTGGACTCTGACGAACTTTATATATTCCGTACTCTCAAGACACGACCCGGAATTTGACAAATGAAGAATGAGAGAAACAAAGTGGGGAAACCTTATTTCTCAAGAGTAAAAATTCTCTAATTTTCTTATCTTAATGATGATGGTTTCATGAGTTTATATAGCACCCAAGTACTTCTTGTTAAAGAGATGTAACTTTTCATTTATAAGTATACATCATTTGACAAGGGAATGCACCTAAATAACATAATCTTTCTAAAAAAATTATATATTGCAATTTCCAACAGAGAAGGTGTCAAGTATGTGTACAGAGAGGAGGACTTGTGGAACAAGAGCCCTCTCCTTCTGCAGATGAATCCGGTTCACAAGAAGATCCCAGTTCTCATCCACAACAGCAAACCGGTCTGTGAGTCACTCATCATTGTGCAGTACATTGATGAGGTTTGGAAGGATCAAGCTGCTTCTTTGCTTCCCCTTGATCCTTACGACCGAGCTCGGGCCAGGTTCTGGGCTGACTTGATTGATAAGAATGTCTAAGCTGTTTTGTCTAAATTTGCTGTTTTTCCCTTCGAGAATGGTTAATAGCACTCTAAAATAGCAACCATGTATTCCTCTCGTTATTTTTATTTTCACAACAAAAGAGTGCAAGATGGTTTTTTTAGAATGCTGCTTTAATATAAAAATATTAATTGCAGCTCAATTTTTTAAAATTTGTATCCGACTTTTCGTCGCATCGAATGATGTCAAACATTGTTTCCAAAAATTGTAGTTTCATGTTGCTGGGAGGAAGCTATGGAGCATAAAAGGAGAAGAACATGAGGCAGCAAAGAAGGAATTTATTGAAATCCTGAAGCAGTTGGAAAGAGAGCTCGGAGACAAGCCATACTTATGGGGTGAGAGATTCGGCTTCTTGGACATTGCCCTTATCGGATTCTACAACTACTTTTATGTGTTTGAGAGCCGTGGAAACTTGAGCATGGAGGCAGAGTGCCCTAAGATTGTTGCATGGGCCAACAGGTGCTTGCTGAGGGAGAGCGTGTCAAAATCTGTTGCTGACCCCAAAAAAGTGTGATTTTTTTACTTCGTTTTTTTAGCGGAGTAGAATAGGCTAGCTGCTAGCAGTGGCAGAACCAGCTGGTGCATGAGAGAGGTTGGGATCTAGGCCAAATTGTAGGCGGAAAATGAGAATAGTAAATAAAATTACGCCAGGCGGCTAAGTTCCAGCTTGCCTTCTACATGATTCCGCCCCTAGCTGCTTGTACAGTATCACCATGTTAGAAAGTCCACTGACGAATTCTTGTATGTGTTCTTCTAGTTTTTTTAATTCCAGCTTGTTTTTCTGTTGAGATGTTCAGGTAAGATCTTTAGGTGTTTCTGCTGCAAATGAGCTTGTATGCCTGAGGAAAAGTAACTCAAAATTTGGATAAGGAGAAAATTCGCCCTATAGTCAATTGCGTACAACGACGAGCGTTATTCATGGCGAGATAGACTCATGGTTGCATGCAACCGGTGGCACCAAAAAGTCCATGCTTTGATGTGTAGACTTGATCACATAATAAGAAATTTGATCGAGTAGATTTAGATTCCTTACTATAACAAGTTGCCAACAGAATGATAGTTTGACTACAGAAGCAAAATAAACATATGAACAGAAGCACAATGAAGTGCCTAAATACAGTAAAGGCTTGGTCAAGTGCCCTTTTATTCTAATTCAAAACAACCCAAAACAGGTTGAATCTTGAAATTACATTGATCATCACTAACTTCTTCCCATGATTCCACCAAAATCTACTCCATTCCAAGCTTTTTCCTCATAAACATGACGAAATCGTAGACCTTTTCCTGTTCGGGGAGCGATTTGGACACGCTCTCCTTCTCCATGCACCTCTTAACCCAGGCAATAAACTTTGGGTGCAACGCCTCAACACTGAAGTTACCAAATTTCTCATACAAAAGAAACCAGCTATAGAACGGAATAAGTGCCACGTCCACGAATCCAAGGGTCTCGCCCCCAAAGAAGGGCTTGTCTCCGAGCTCTCCTTCTAACACGCCCATGCAGTCAAGGAATTCCTTCTTTGCTGCGTCCTGTTCTTCTCCTTTCGTTGTCCAAATCTTCCTCCCAAACTCGTATATCTGCATTTCACATCCCCAAAATTGCAGAAATATTAATATACATTATTTTGAGCAAGTTCAGATCCTCTGCTTATATCTTTCTAACATATACATCACAAACCCTAAACTGTAAACCCGAACTGTAACAAGAAATCTTAATCAAAACCTAAGTAGTAAAATCATTATTACCCTAAACACTTACAATCTTAAAATTTTAAAACATTGTTTTATTTACCAGCTCAAATATCCGTAAGCATTTAACCTAAAACCAATTGGCAACGCGTGAGATTTTAAGCAGTTATGCTAGATACTCGCAACAATTTAAACATAAAAAATACAACCGTATAATCTGTTTCCCAAGTTTTCAATTGTTTCAAACCAAACATATTCAAAACAAATAAAAAAGTACTACAAATAAGTAAATTAGTCAGTAAAACTCACCTTCTTGTCGACGAAGTCTGCCCAGAACCTGGCCTGGGCTCTGAGGTAAGAGTCAGAGGGCAAGAGTGGAGCCTTATCATTCCAAACCTCATCAATGTACTGAAGCGCAATGAGGGACTCACACACCGGTTTTCCATTGTGAATGAGAACCGGGATCTTCTTGTGAACCGGGTTCATCTGCAGCAACAGTGGGCTCTTGTTCCTCACGTCCTCATCTTTGTACACATACTCAATGCCCTTCTCAGCCAGAGCAATCCTCAGCCTCATCCCAAATGGGCTAGGCCAGAAATCCAACAAAACTACCTCATCCGCCATTGAAGGTTGAAATATGAACTCTTTGATACAAAATTGCAAAATGGTTGCAGAAGGTTGGCTTAGATATGAGCTGTGGGAGTGGTGGTGGTGGTGGTGGTAGTGGTGGGGGTGCGTGTGTGTATTTGTAGACAAAAGTTGAATGAAAAGACTAAAGAGGCAGTAGTCAATGGACCGCAGGATTCTTGGAGATATTCTATTTTTCTTCCTTATTGTACACATCAGAGAATATTAATGGATCTGATTATGTCACTGCTTTCGACATCAAAAATCTTGATATCCTTCTATGTTCTTCCTTCTTTTAATTGTGGAGAAGAAATTTTTGTAACAGCAACGAGATTTGTCGTCTAAGTGGACGAGCGTCTATTCGGGTCTCTGAAATATTGCTCGATAAAAAGTGTAACAAAAAATAAAGTCTAAATTATATTAAAATATCTCAATTATAGCTCGAACCACAATCTCATACCTTATGTTTTAAAAATTACAATGTCATTCATCATCTTATGAATTTATTGCAATGTTAAACCTCTTTAAGTTTGTTTGTTAATTTCTCTGCTAGCTTGAAGCGAAGCCCACTGCTTCACCCAACTGAATAGATATATTAATTAAATATTAATAAATTATATAATTATATAAAAAAAGGGGACCCACACCTACAAGCGCATCACCCTCACCGTTCTTTCCCACTTCATCCGTCTCGAGTATTTATCATTAATAGTCAAAATTTAACATTCAATTTCATAAATGTCATTTTTTATAATAAAAAAAATATCAAATATAGTAGAAAACTCATGTAAATAGACTTAAATAGCCTCAAAATTCAAAACCCATTTACACATAAAAGGGAAGTCAATGGAATTCCGATGGGAGTTGTAAGGAAGCAACTCAACCCCTCCAAATTTTGAGCTCTTCTTACTCCGTGAAGAATAGAAGTGCACCTCATCTCCCGTCCGTTGTCCTTATGGCTCCCTCCACATTTAGTCTCACCCACCCTTCCTCGCCAAGTAGAGGAAGGGTTTCTCAAAGTTGTAGTTGTTGTTTGCTGATATATCATAGTACTGCAGATCTTCTTTCTGTGGAAGGTAACCTGCTTGGCTTTAACCTCCATGTTCTTCACATCAACCTTGTTGCCACAGAGAACAATAGGGATGTTCTCGCACACGCTGAAATACTAACGCGAGGAATCAAGTATACCGAACCATCACCAACTAATGTAAAAAAAAAAAATAAATAAATAAAGGAACATTAGACTTGACACAAAAATAATTTAGCTAACTCATCGGCAGAGATCACGGTGCCATGTAGGGACATTCTTGTATGTCGACCTAGCGGTAACGTCAAACATGATGATTGGACATTGCCCATGAATGCTGCATATTTCAATGAAGAATTTTAGGTGTTCATTAGGAGGCATCCACCATGATTGTTTAGTTTTACTCACTCTACTGGTTCTTCATTGGCCTCCTGGAAATCATGCATCCAACTGAAAGTGTTGTGAATTAAAGCCATAGGATATGCACTAAAGCCTTCCCATACCAAGCTATCTCTTGCCTTCCAAAGGAGGGCATTTAAGCCCTTGGCTGTTTGAATACCAAATGAGGGTATTTAAGTCTATTTAAGTGGGTTTTCTGTTATTTTTTAAAGAAGTTATAAAAAGTGACATTTATGAAATTAGGTGTTAAATTTTACTTATTATTGATTTGAGTTTTAAAATGACAAAAATGTGTTGTAAGTAAATAGTACAAAGAGTGACTTTTTAGAGTAAAATTGTCATTTTTCGTTAAAGTAAACAATACCGAAAATGTTTCGTTTAAACTCTGTTATTTTTAAGCGCGATGAGATTGATTCAAGGCAAATATAATACTTTATAAATTTCAAACTCCTGTACACCGCTACCAAAATTGTCTTACATAATATGCGTTTTGCTTATAACAATCTGAACCGTTGTTTTCAATAAATTATAAAACTCATTATGCTAATTTTCAAGTTATTTGCAATATTGTACCCCTTCTTGCTTTATGCGTGTCATCTTTGCAATGGACGGAGTCTATCTCCTAAAAAATATCTTGACACGAGCATATAAATTTTATAATTAATTTGTAAACCCTAGGAAATATAAAAAGATGAGAAGCCTAGGCATGAATGCATTATCCAAATTCCCAAAATCCGAAGCTCTTTGCGAGAAGAAAGGGAGGTTTTTTTTTTTCTCACTACCATAATTTTAGTTAACTTTCATATTAAATGTTATTTTTTTATTTTTTAAAAAATTAATCAAATTAAAGAAAATGATATGTAATGGATGATTAGATGTATAATTAGCATATAGTATAATTGTAGCGAGCAAAAATGCTTCCGAGAAAAAAACAAGTCGGCCAAAACATGTGATGCAGCTGGAATTTCCTACAACACTCCAATACATGGTCCAACGTAAAAAACCCCTTTTTGTAATTTAACTCCATTTCCCACCCATCCACGTTTCGTAATTAATTGGATTTTGGCTTTTATATTTCTAATTTTTTGAACTCGAATAATGCAAAAGGAAACAAGCTGCAAAACAGAAAAACGAACAAAATAAATAAATAAATAAAAACCACACATCGAGCGGAAATGAACTTGTAGGTGGGATGTCCAAAATATATGAATGGTTAGAGCATCTCTAAAGAAAATATTAAATTTAAAATATCAAAATAATATTTGATAATTTATGTGGCATTTTGACATTTTTTATAATTATTGAGCTGGATGTGTGGAAACGAAAAACAGGTTAACAAGAATTTGCCAACAAAAATCAAATCAATCGCAAAGAAACATGACAGGAGGCACAACACAGGTCCAGTGCCCTTTGCTTGTAGGTAGATGTGAGGAAAACCCGTACAGGTTGAGACTTGAAAGACAGCATATGGACCTAAAGAAATCGAATGTATAACTGAATTACTTTCTTCTAATTAGGGGTGACAATGTCTGACATAATACATTACACGAGTCGAAATTCATAAGAATTTCGGACCTGATGTGTACGTTATTAAAACACAATTAACATTTGCTCCTTTATATATTTATAAAATGATAATTATTATCACTCTATCTGAGACATAGTATGAGTTATTTATTATAATCATCATATTATTATTTTTATCATTTTATACGCTGATTATGGATTGATATGAACATGACATGAACATAAATAGCCAAACTCGAACACAACCATTCGCATCCTTACTTGTAGGTAGTCTTGTGCATGTTTACTACGCCATTCCAAGCTTTAAACCGTCATATAGTTGGTCAGGAAGTCACTTGAATACTCTGCATGCACCTCTTTATCTTAAGAGGACTTTGACACTCTTTCGGGCTGGTTTGGTTTCGCATTTCAGAAGTTTCACGCCTCTCCCCAGAAAGAGAATATAACAACTGGACATTTGATTCTAGCATCCTTTTGTAATGGTTGTATACTTCTCAAGGATGATATATGCATTTGAATCTAACAAAAATAATACTTCTCAAGGTTGAATCCAGCATCTTCTTTGCAATGGTTGTATACCTCTCCCCAGTAGCAACAGGTTATATTGACTAATTTAATGTAATTTCTCTACCTCAAGGATGCTGTATACTTCTTTCAGAGATTTCTTTGGCTTCCCAGTATGAGAAGTCCACAAATGATTAATCTGATACGCAGACTAATGATAGGTGATCATTCCATCGCTTATCTGAAGTCTTCACTGGTCCCTGCTAAATGCGCTTTAGTCCAATCGGCACCCAATTCATCCCTTAGACAACATGCATATGAATCAGAATCTGAATCCTTGCACTCTCTCTCAGCAGTGTTGGAGTTTTACTGGATAGGCAATGAATTGATTGCAAGAAGTTGAAGTAAGCATACTTCAATATCATACTGCATATCATACCCTGCCAAATATAATGGAACATCAAATACTTAACCATATAAAAAGTGGAACCTGAAAGGTGAGAGAAGTGTTTTAAGTTCTTGATCCCTTACAGTAGTTCACGGCAATAGTGCGTTTATCCGGAGTTTGTCTAACGTGATGAACCCACATACTTGGCCTGCATTAACTCTACCACATCAAGCGTTGGAAAATATTAAGGAAAACTAATGAAAATGGTTTGAAAACTTTGAGTTTTAACGAAAATGACAAAAAAAAAATGATAAAGTGAATAGTATCAGGATTGACTTTTTAATGTAAAAATGTAGTTTTTTGTTAAAGTAAACAGTACCGAAAGCTTTTCGTTAAAGTTCCCAAAATATTATGAGCCATATAGGAGTATGAAAACAATAGACAATCATGCACATTTATTTTTGGTTACAAAAATAACATGGACATCTTAATCGTGAAAAGAATTTCATTTTTCATATGTTGCTTACCAAATAAAGACAATATAAAAAGAGGAGGGACTAGGCATCAAAGTAAGCAATGAGAATGCCCGGAATTGTACAAAATTTGAAGTGACTGAAGTCCGATCATATGAACATAGCCAAAAGAAGGAAAAAACAAATGAGAGCAAAAATGAAGGCAGAAATTTACCAGTAGAGAATCTCTCCAGGGTTGAGAGTACAGTGAAAGAGCTTAGGACCGTCAAACTACAAAGGGAAGTTAGAGAGCTGCTTATCTCTGTCCTCAGGAGAAGGGTAAGGATTGACACTGCACCAAGGCACATATCTGTCTGGAGTTCCAACGTGAACTCTCCGGTGTCATGAGAATATGAATATTGAGCAGATGGGTAGTCGCGGATGTACATGCGATACACATCAGTGGGAGGGAGGAGGAAATGCTTCCGCCCAGTCACGACAGCACATAGATTCTCATAGTGCTCATTATGAAATGATGTTGTAGACAGATGGTTGCCAATCCGCATGTTGACTGCACCGGGGAGGCAACCAAGGGCCTCACTGGCCCATGGGATATGGGGGTCGCAATCCCCAGCTAAACCCGAGTACTCTGACGGAAAGCAGTTGTTCTGCTGCTGCGCATAGGCCACCAATTTTGATGGGGACTCATTGTTGGCGACCAGGCTGAGAGCTTCCGGGAAGAGCACGCACTCCACATGAGCAGAAGCAAAGCAAAGAGAACCATTCAACGGGACAAGGGCATCAGCTTGGCCGTGTGGGGTAAGGTGAAGGGAGATGTCAGTAGAGGAGAGAGCTCCGGCGAGGTAAGAATTGTCGGTCCAGGAGTGAGAGGGCCGGCCAGTGGAGGTGGCGTTGGATATAATGCAGGGCTTGTTTTGGTTAACGTAATCTCTTGTTTTGGTTAACGTAATCTCTAAGGAATTGGAGAGGGGTAGGTGGGAGCTCCACTCTTCCCGACTCGCCTACACTTAGCTCTCTACTTGTTTCCGCAATGCCTCTATTTCCTCCATACTAGTAGCCCAGTTTCCGTTGTTCCTCGCTGTCAGGATTAAAATTTGGAGGGTTAAACCTCCAAAACCTCTTACTCCATTGACTAAATTTTTTCGAAACAAATGGTTAATGGCTATCGAGTCTTGTAGGTTCAAAATGTATATTATCCAGATTATTTTTCTTGCAGCAAACACATCAATGATTTGGTTAACCGCTACAAATAGTTAATTAATACTAGCATATGGGCACACACAATGTGTTAGAAAATTTTTTATTTTCTGAAAGAGAGGAAGAGAGTGGGAGAGAATGTGGGAGTGGAAAGATTTTTTTTTAATTTTTTATAGAGATATGTTAGGATTACATGTATTTGAGGCTTATTATATTTATACCCTATATTTCTTATTCATATTCTATTTTAATTAGAGGGTTAAAACTATTAATTTCTTAGGATTTTAATTGACAATGAGCATTTTATTAATTAGTAGAGATACTTGTGGCTCACGTGGACAGCCTCCCAATACTCAACTCTACAAATATACTTGTAGCTCACGTGGTTAAAAATCCCGCCATTTCCAAGGTAAACATAATGCTCTCTCACTGATTTTTTTTTTGTTTTTTTTGTTTTTTCACTTTCTACTATTGATCTTAGCATCGTTGAAGACTATTTGATTCTGAGGTTTGAAATCATCAATTTGTTAATCTTTCATGATTAGGTTAAGCCACCTGCTAGGCAACCAATGAGTTGAAGGAGAAAACATACAAACCAAATTACTCATAAACGCGCACGAGTTACAAACTCGGAAAAACTAAACGTAGAAATACAATAGGAATAGGGTAAAGAGGCGCGCATTGCATAGATGATCCTCTCTTGGTGATGCCAAGGTTCTGGATGTCCCCAATTTCAACTAAAATGCACTGTATATGATTAAAAAAAACGAGAAAGAAAACACTACTTTGCACTTGTCCAGGATGTTTCATAGAGCGGAACTGCGGTCTAATAGGAGACGCCTTCTTGAACCTGTCATAAAGAAGGCACCGGTAAAAGATAGCGAAAAAAAATGACGCAACATGTCAGTGCTCCACCAGGCCTTTCTTTAAGCAGTTGTCTGAACTGAATCAACTTCAGCCGCCACGAGCTTCCCTTCTGGTGGCATCATGCAGCAGTTCAACATCGACTCCCTCTGGGGGTAGTTGAACGTATCTCACAACTGATCCCCTAATAAAACAGTTCCTCACTGACATCTGCAAAAGTACATTATCATACACTAGTCAAACCGGAAGGGTAACATATTGTTAAATAGTAATTTTCCATTTCAATGTACATTACACGTTCTTTAAGCATGGGGCAGAAAACAAAATCAGCATATATAAGATAGACAACAGCTAGAACAAACAAAGCAAACACAAGAATATCGGAAGATCCAAAAGGTCCAATGAAACCAAGCAAATCAGAGTCAGAGTCGTGAGACCAATGACCTATGCTCTGAAAAATTTTACCCACAGCCCCATAAAAAAAATTTAATCCCTGAAATTAAAATCATATAATGCCCTTGCAATGATCAACTCCCACAAGCTAACAGTGAAATGCCAAGCTCCACCATAAACGATTGGCACAAACACTTGGCACAGGAGATCTTACCATCAGTAAAATCTCAGAGCTCACCAATCCAATCATAGTGACATTTTTATAGCAATAAGGTACCCAGCAGACCATGGAAGATCGAAGATAATCCCCAAACTCCACGTTTACAAGTTTCATTGTGAGCATTCATGTCACAAGAACCATAAACATAATAAACTCAACTCCCATATCAAACCCAAATCGATAATAAGTATATGGACTGCATAAATTCAATACAAACATTGGAGGAGTAATAGACGCAAAATCACTCATAAACCATGAAACTAGAGTACAACACCTCAACTATAACTCGTTTTGTCACACTTAAGTTACCTAAAACGATGTAGTGAATCTTCAATTGAGACAACAAAACCATCTCAGATTACTCTCTCACTTTATCTTTCCGTGATGCTATCCCCAAATTTTATGCTTAGTAACATTTCCACATGCCCATCATCTTAAAGTCTGCATCCAGCTACATTTATTTCTTATGTAGCTTATAGGACAGTGTTCTATACATTATAGTGGTCTTACATAACTGTCCCTTCAAATAGTCTAAGAACGACTGTACTCCACACTCAATTCAAATATTCTAAGAATGAACAATTTGAATTGTCCATTCGACTAATCATCATATAGTGAGCAAAAATTCAGTCTTTTTTATCACATGATAAACTTTCCAGGTATACAATTACGCTAATTATCAAAAATCCCCCATCAATACTTAATCTGCAAAAAACCACTCAGGAGTCTGCACATACTAAAGCATGGATGGCCTATCACTAGCATTGTTCTTCTGCTAAAACCCGCGTAAATTATTACAAGTTCCAAAACCTTAAGGGGAAAATTTTCAAAATCAAAACAACCCATTTGAAACCCTAAACCCTAACTTCTCATCACAAACTCGAGCAGTAGGATTACCCCTTCCAACACCAAACCCTAGAAATCAAGTGAACAACCAACAGGCACAGACATGTACATAGACTAGTCAAACGTTAATCAGAAACAAGACAAAGACAACAATGGTTACCATGTGAGGGTACTTGTCCTGGTCGACAACCCTAGTATTCTCGAGCTTAATGTTGAGATACTGATCCACCGAGTGCAGTGTTCCTCTGATTGCAAGGTCATTCTTCAGCTCCACCGTCACTTCTCTCCCCACCAACTCTTTGAAATAAGAGAAGAACAACTGCACACCCACGCACCCAACAGAAAACCCAGTTCAAATTACGGGTTGAGGGACAAATTAGGAGAAAAAATAAACAGCATGGAAATTGAACAAGTTGGTGTAAATTAGCATAGAAATTGAAAGTTACCATTTTTTTATTTGCAGGTTGAGAGAGACAGCAGGAGATGGTGAAGCCCCTTGGGGTTCTGTAGGATCGAGTATGGAGCTGGTTTTGCAGAGACCCGAAGGAGGAGGAAGATGTGGAGAGGCAAAAACAGCGAGAGAGGTATTTTGCCACCGGCTGTGGGTTTTCCCAAGTTTTGGGCTTTATTGGAGCTCACATGACGTGACTGGGCCTTCAATTTGGTTTTTTTCGGTTTCTGGGCCTAATTTTCTCTAGACTTTTGCACTTTTTTTTTTTTTTTTGTCAATCAATAGGATTTGTTAGATTAGATCATCTCTAAAGGGGATATCAAAATTGCCACATACGTATACAATAGTAAAAAAATATCAGCAAACTCTCTTCAATCAAGCCTTCAATTTCTTATGTGGCGCTGGGTCATTTGAAGGCAAAGCCTTTTGCTGTCAAATTTGATAGCAGATGTCAAATTTATTAAATAATTTTTTAATAGATTATATAATATATAATAAATGTTGTTATATTTTTGAAATATTCGATTGGTTACCCTAATCATTGGACTCCACAAAAAGATAAAAATTTTATTAAATGACATTATTATTTAACATATCAGGTGGAGTAAAATATTGTACAAAATGTCAAATTACCACATAAGCTATCAACTATCATTTTGATGTTTAAAATTTGGCATCTCCTTTGGAAATGCTCTTTGATGTTAAATTAGCAAGGTTCAAACTTACGCCGTCATGCAAGAGCTCAACACCTTTCATTCCATCGTTGTAATAAGGGTCATTTGCCACATTTATTGATAGAGGAATCCTACCTTTAAAAAGAAAACATATCACCCAGAAAAGGGAAATAAAGGTCCTAATTCATCGAGAAAAACTTGAGAAGATAAACGAGAAGTTCAATTTCCAAAAGGAAAAAAGTGACTTCCCTTCTTCTTTATGGTGCCTGTTTGCGTTTTCTTTCAATTCTTAGCCTTTATGTTTTCCTAATCCATTCGGGGTTTCTGTAATTAGTTGTGCAAACATCTCTTATTTGTGTGTATAGAGTTTTCTAGACGAGATGGGATTATCTTCACAACAGGTTTTATACGTGCAGCTGCATGCATATACATACATAACCTAAAATATCCTTCGCTTTGTCTCAGACTCTCCGACTCTTAGTAAGCAATCTGTGGATATGACTATTCCGGAATTGGATATGTTGCGAGAAGAATACTTCGGTACTACCATGCGCTCCTCCTCCTCCTCTATTTTAGGACCCGTACGGGCTGCTTCCAGCGATGTCCAAGGCTGCCATCGACGCCATTCCGACGCTGAAAGTGACGGAGGAAGGGAAGGAGTGTTGTATCTGCTTGGAAAACTTGAAGGTGGGCGTTGAAGCCAAGGAAATGCCATGTCAGCATATGTTTCACAAGACGTGTATGATGTATTGCAAAATGGCTGCTCCAGCGTGCTTCCTGCCCGCTTTGCAGGTTCGGTGTGGACGTGCCCATCATTCCCCTACAGGACGATACATTTGACATGTTTAGCGATTTGTTATCATCACCTTGTTCCGATCCAAACTGGTGGGTCATCGGATAAGTTTGTGTTTTGGTTACATGCCAGTGTTCGATTGATTTAAATTTTTATAGAAGACTTTTCTTTCTTTTTCTTCTACTTAAAATATATATATCCAACTATATATAGTTTTATTCATATCATATTTAAAACAAAATCATTATATGCCTCCCTCTGCATGCATCTCATTGCCCAGCCCACCAGCCTCGAACACTCCTTCACCATGTAGAATTTTTCAAGTTGACGGACCGAAGGCACATTCCAACAACATCGATACCGTTCCTACTTAATCACCTGCACAATCCTTAGGTGTGGGGTTTTATCACAAAAGGTCTCAATGTTGTTGGAGTGGACCCTCAGTCCGTCAACCTGAAAAATTCTACACAGTATCAGAGTCAGGAGACGGGCCCATACTGCCCTGTGATTGGGTGGGTCCCCATTGGCCCTGCGTGATTGGTGAGTCCCTATATGGCTCCACGTAGGGCAAAGATGCCACGTGATTGGGTGGGTCCCCATTGGCCAAGCGCGATTGGGTGAGTCCCGACATGGCTCCATGTGGTTGCCGATGTGTGGAATTTCATGTGTGACCCATAAAAATGGGGTCTCACGTGCGGGGGAGTGTTGGAACCCCATTATGTCCCACATTAGACAAAGGAAAGGGCAAAAACCCATTTACATAGAATTACCTCACTTTAACTAACACCAAGACCTTTTGTGATAAAACCCCACACCTGAGGATTGTGCAGGTGGTTAAGTGGGGACAATATCGGTATTGTTGGAATGAGCCCTCAACTCATCGACCTGAAAATTTCCACACACCATGCCCAGGTTTCCACAGACCTCCAGTGCATAGAACTAGCTATAGTGCCACGTCGACTATGCCAAAACTCTCACCCCCAAAGTAGGTCTTGTCTCCTAGCTCGTGTTCGAGCTGCAGCTTGAAGCACTCAGTTCCTTCTTTGCTGCATCTTGGACTTCGCATTTGGTTCCCCACACCATCCTCCCTGTTGAAAAAATCTACAGCAACCAAAAAAAAAGCAAAAAACCAGTTAGAAATTAAGTATTGTCACAATTTCTATATTTTATGAAAAAGACTGACTTCTTACATTACGTGCAAGTCATTGTTTGATATAAATTGTATATAACTAATTGAAATTACAAAAGAGAGAAGTTTGATGCATCCATTCAAACTGTGATTTGCAAGTAAAGAGAAATAACTTTATATCTTAGAAAAATATCGTCCAAGTGTTTTTCTTTCATGAAAAAGGTAAATAATTAATGAAAAATCATAGTTTTACACATAGTCCAAAATAACTGACCTTCTTGTCAACATAGTCAGCCTAAACCCTTGCATGGGCTCTATGGTAAGGATGGAGCTTGATGACTCCAAATCTCATCAATGTATTGAAGAATGATGAGTGGTCTTCCCTTGATCCAAGACTGGGATTTGCTTGTGAACAGGGTTCGTCTTGAGCAGCAGAGGCCTCTTGTTGCTCAAGTCTTCTTCCCGGGACTCGTACGTGATGCCCTTCTCCACCAGGGCAATCCTCACCCTCATCCCAAAGGGGCTTGGCCAGAAATCCAACAGAACCACTTATCTGCCATTACTAGCTTGTGTGCCTGCCGCTTGCTTTTTGGTGAGTTTTCTTTGACTGCTTATTTGTATGCTACAAAGGCAAAGGGAAATGAAAGTTTCTTTGTAATGGTAGAGAAAGTTGGCCAATGTATGTAAATTTTCTTACGTTGGTTTGTGTAGGTGCTTCTCGAGTCCCCTGTCACCCGAACCTGACAATTTCTTACACGACCTGTTAACACGACACGAAAATAACAGGTTTCAGGTCAACACGATAACTAATCAGGTCATTATCGGGTCACACGATAATAACCCGTTAATAACGGATCCTTAACAGGTTTACAGTAGAGTGACACACAGGTAACCTGTTTCGACACGATAAGAAAAAAGTTATTTTGATGATTTTAATTTTTTAAATCACTAAAAAAAACTTACTACAAAATACAATAGATATAATGAATATGTATATATTGTTTATTAATTTATTATTCTATATAAATTTTAAAATTTAAGTTTTATTTATTTATTTATTTTTATAGTATATTATAGGCAAAGATTGAGATTAAAAATCGTAAAACACATTAAAAATAAAAATATCAAGTAATTTAAAAATACCAAACACATTAAAAATTATAATAATTAATTTACATGTGCGAAAAATATGAAAAAATATGTAAACGCTCGTAGTCGCATCCTCTATGCTTTGAGGATGGGTATATGATCATTTGAATTTTTAAAACCATACAAACTCTCATGAATACTATTTATAAGGGAGTTCAAAATAAACAAAATTCATAATCATTAATGTATAAGTCTGAAAGATGTGAAAGCATAATAAGCGTTCATAATTGCATCCTCAACACTTAGACGATGATTACATGGTCGTTTAGATTTTTAAAACCCTCCAAATCTCATGAACAGTGTTTTTATTTGAGTGCAAAATTAATAATAATTCTTGTAGAAATGTGAAAAATGTAATCACTTGTAATGAAAAACTTTACAACTTTCATGAAGGTGTTAACTCTGAAATTTAGTATATATATACTAATTCAGTATTATGTTTTACATTTTTTTTGGGTCAAATTATGTTTTTCATTTTCATTTTTATTGATTTAAAATATATTTTTCTTAACAGGTAACAGGTCGGGTCATATTACCTTATAATATTAACGGGTTGATTTCAGATCGGATCATAATACCCATTTACTTTAACGGATATTACACGACACGACCCGTTAAGCTATTGGGTATGACACGAAAACAACACGAACACGAGAAACACGACACGAATGCCAGATCATTGCTAGTATTTTCGAGAGGCAAGCGACGCATTGGACTGTTTTACCCCTTTTTAAAGCTTGACACGTTTACTTACATAGATATCGAAATTATTCTAATTCTTGTTGTTTGTATTTGTATGACAAATGGAATAAAGAAAAAGGTATTTGTGTTTCATAGTATGTTCTGTAATCCAAGCATGAAAAACTAAGAATTTAATTAATCGAGTGAATAGTTGTTTCGATACTCGTATACCTAACTTGGACTTTCCTCGTTTCAAGTTAAGCCCTCTCAAAGTAACTCCTCCCTCTCTTGGTGAAGCAAAAGGAATATAACATGCCTGCTTAGTACTACACTGTTGCGGTATTTCTCTTGTAATAATATGTAATGCCTAAGATTCAAATTTTTTGAATGGAAAATTCAGTGTTGAATTTGTTCCCCACCTTGTAACGTAAATATGTCGTTTGTCTATAAAAAAAAATGACACCATGAATTGCACTCTTTTTCCTTAGGGAAGTGGAGATAACTAGAAAAAAAAGGGTTACCATTTAGAAGGTCGAACTCAATTGTCCACATTTGTCTAACAAGAAAATATGTGATGATCCAAGAAATTATACTGCCAAAAGGATATCGAACATAATGAATAGAATTATCGACTTGTTCTCAGCCCAGAACCAATTACACAACCTCGAAAGAAGAAAACAGAAAATTTTCAGTAAGATTTGAATCGGCATTTTCATCTCAACTTGACATCT